GCTCCTTTTTTACTCGATACACCCACTTGTTGTGACGTGCCTTCTTCTCCATGGGCAACTTAGCTAGTTCCCATGTCTGGTTGGAGATTAGAGATTTCATCTCTTCTTTCGCAGCAAACTCCCACTTGCTTGCATCTCCACTCTGACAAGCTTCATCAAAGCTTTCAGACTCCCCTCCATTTGTCAGCAACATATAATTCTGAGCTCGCCTCTGATCTGCCTCGACATCGAGCTCGCCTGCGGAGGTTTGAGTCTACACCGATCTCAACACTACTAACAGAGACAGTTGAAGCTGAAAACTCTATTCGAGTGCTTTGCATGGTTCAGGATAAAACTTCGAGGTTAGAAATGGAGAATGGAGGAGAATCAAGGGGATTTTCTAATAGTTCATGGAGACCATTCATCACAAAAGTTGGTTTGGGAGAGCTCTTGACAGTGATGTAAGATGAGATTTTAATTGGGTTTTAAGTTTGAAGGAACGAAATATGTTTGTTAACGGGTACAAGTTAAATAGGTCGTGAGTTCGATTTTGAAACAGAAGGGGTACCAATCCACCCGAGAAGCTTACGTTAGCTAGCTAGGAGCCTAGGAGGGCTATTTTCAATATTTAGACCATCTTCAGTTCTCTCCTGCCACATCACTTTATTTAATTCAATAATCTTCATTTCCCTATCAACTCTACAGCAGGAGATTTTTCAGAATTTTTTTTACTTTATTTGGGACCCACCATAACCACATCACTTCAACATATACCCCACCATATTTATTCATTCTTTTTCCTATTTCATATATATTAATGGTATAAAAATAGGATGTAGAAACTCAGAATTTTTTTGGTGTCCAAATGACACAAAGTTAATCTCTATTTATAGAGTTTGAAAAATAAAAATTAATGGTTTGTGCATGTCCTTGTACATCACCTTCTCGTTGAATGTCACATCTCTGCACCTGATCACCTTCTTGTTTTTGTTGTCCCAAATGCGGTAGCCGAACTCATCTTCACTATACCCGATGAATGTGCATATCTTAGACTTGGGATCAGGCTCATTCCTGCCTTGATCACTTATATGCACATAAGCTACACAACCGAAAACTTTAAGATGTGAGAGGGTTGCCTCCTTTCCGCACCATACCTCTTCTGGTATTCTGTGCTCCAATGGAACCGATGGACCTCGGTTGATCAAGTAAGCTGCTGTGTTGACTGCTTCTGCCCAGAACTGCTTCGGTAGACCTGACTGCATCCGAATGCTTCTGGCTCTCTCTGTCAACGTTCTATTCATGCGCTCAGCCACACCATTGTGCTGAGGCGTGCCGGGCACGGTCCTCTCCATTCTGATACCGTGCTCATAGCAGAACTTCTTGAATCTGGTGTCTTCATACTCACCACCATTGTCTGTTCTGAGTTTCTTTACCCTCAAACCGGTCTCATTCTCGACCATGGCTTTCCATCTTCTGAAAGCCTCAAACACTTCTGACTTTTTCTTCAGAAAGTAGACCCATACTTTCCGAGAGTGATCATCAATAAAAGTCACGAAGTAGTGTTTCCCACCAATCGACGCGGTGGTTGTTGGTCCCCAAACATCTGAGTGAACAAGCTCTAGCTTCTGCTTCCTGGGGGGTCTGCTACTTGTCTGAAAGCTAACTCTCTTCTGCTTTCCAAGTAGGCATTCTTCACACATATCAATCTCTACTGATTGTAAACCTGGGAGTTTTTTCTTTGTGTGCATAACCTTCATCCCCTTTTCACTCATATGACCGAGTCTCTGGTGCCACAGCTTTGAAGTCTCATTGCCTGCTGAAACTGAGATCGAACAACGTGCACCTGCTGTCATATACAGTGTACTAGTCTTCCTGTCTCTGGCAATCGTCATTGCGCCCTTCGAAATCCTCCAGTCATCTCCATGGAAAGTCGTCGTGTAGCCTTCACTAGCCAGCTGGCTTACTGAGATTAAGTTCCTCTTCAGGTCGGGAATATACCTGACATCCTTCAGCTCCCATACTGACCCATTCAGCTTAATCTTCACCACGCCTTTGCCAATAATGGCACATGCTTGATCGTCACCAAGATATACATTTCCAAGGTTTCCGGGGATATACTTCTCGAGGAATTCTTTCTGAGAAGTAGCATGGAATGATGCTCCCGAGTCCAACACCCAAGACTCCTCCTTGCTCTCCAAAGAGCATATCAGCGCATCATCTCCTCCTGAGGTGGAGGCAACGTTCACATCTGCATTTGCCTCCCACTCCTCCCGTGCACTCCTGCACTGATTCTTGTAGTGCCCGGTTTTCCCGCACTTCCAACACTCGATAGCCTTCGAACTGTTGGGATTTCTGGATTTGGATCTCCTATCATCTGATCCATTTCCTCTGGTTGAACTTTTACCTCTTGACTCTGTATGCAATACTGAAGAGGTTGTAGCTTCACCCGACTCTCTCCGTCGGATCTCCTCACTGAGAACCAGATCACGAACGTCGTCAAACTTCAACTTATTGCTTCCCGATGAGCTACTCACAGCTGTGACCGTAGCGTTCCAACTCTCTGGTAGGGAAGACAAAAGGATCAACGCTCGAACTTCCTCATCAAACTCAATATCAACTGAACTCAATTGGGTCGTGACTGTATTGAGTTCATTGAGATGATGTGCTACCGATGCACCTTCCGCCATTCGCAGATTAAACAACCGCCTCATCAAATGGACTTTATTTGAGGCTGATGGCTTCTCATACATATTGGAGAGTGCTGCCATAAGATCTGCCGTGGTCTTCTCCTTTGCAATGTTAAAAGCAACATTGCGGGTTAACGTCAAACGAATAACCCCGAGGGCTTTTCTGTCCAGAAGATTCCAATCTTCTTCCTTCATACCCTCCGGCTTCTTCCCCGAGAGAGGTTGATACAGATTTTTCTGATACAGATAATCCTCTATCTGCATTTTCCAGAATCCGAAATCTGATCCATCAAACTTCTCTATTCTCACCTTTCCCTCATCTGCGGCCATGGCTCCCACTTGAATCTGACTTCCTCTAGATCGTTTCACGCTCTGATACCAGTTGTTGGGAATCTAACGCTGAAACCCCTAATACAACAGAAACGCAGTATAGAGAACAGTACACCAAGATTTACGAGGTTCGGCAACTGCCTACGTCCTCGGGAGCCACACAGTCAATTTCTTATTTAATCTAACAAGAAATTACAAATCAAGAGCAAATCTCTAAACTGAGATTTCTCAAATGAACACTGTAGCTTACAGTGTTAATAATCAAAGGGTATGAACCCTTTCAATTTCTCTCACAATAAAACCCCTCTTTCCACTATAAAGTGCTGGAGATCAAAGAGAAACGAAAGGAGAAAAATTTCGCCGCCGCTGCCTGGAATCGAACAGAGAGAGAAAGGGGAAGAGCAGCAAAAACCCTAGGGCATCGGGGGGCTTTTTATAGCCGAGCTCGTTGACAGGCTGGCGACAGCCTGTCGCCAGCCACGCGCGCGGCCCACTGGGACGCGAGGGTCGGGTCAAACGCCGAGGTCGCGATGCCCACACGCCGAGGGTCGCGTTCGCCCGAGGGTCGCGTTCGCTCGAGGGGCGCGTCTCCGACTTCGCCTGCGGATTTCTTCGAGCTCGAAATCGCCTTGAGCTCGCCTCTGATCTGCCTCGACATCGAGCTCGCCTGCGGAGGTTTGAGTCTACACCGATCTCAACACTACTAACAGAGACAGTTGAAGCTGAAAACTCTATTCGAGTGCTTTGCATGGTTCAGGATAAAACTTCGAGGTTAGAAATGGAGAATGGAGGAGAATCAAGGGGATTTTCTAATAGTTCATGGAGACCATTCATCACAAAAGTTGGTTTGGGAGAGCTCTTGACAGTGATGTAAGATGAGATTTTAATTGGGTTTTAAGTTTGAAGGAACGAAATATGTTTGTTAACGGGTACAAGTTAAATAGGTCGTGAGTTCGATTTTGAAACAGAAGGGGTACCAATCCACCCGAGAAGCTTACGTTAGCTAGCTAGGAGCCTAGGAGGGCTATTTTCAATATTTAGACCATCTTCAGTTCTCTCCTGCCACATCACTTTATTTAATTCAATAATCTTCATTTCCCTATCAACTCTACAGCAGGAGATTTTTCAGAATTTTTTTTACTTTATTTGGGACCCACCATAACCACATCACTTCAACATATACCCCACCATATTTATTCATTCTTTTTCCTATTTCATATATATTAATGGTATAAAAATAGGATGTAGAAACTCAGAATTTTTTTGGTGTCCAAATGACACAAAGTTAATCTCTATTTATAGAGTTTGAAAAATAAAAATTAATGGTATAAAAATTATAAATTAATTCATTGTATTTATCTCAAAAAAAATATCAATTAAAAATGAGGAGGAAAACAAAAATTGCCGCATTTAATGAGGTGGGGCCCACCAGGTCAGAAATGCCCGGGGTAAATTTTTCACCCATTGGCCTTGTCTTTTTGATTCATCTTTTCAAAAAACTCCTGCTGCAACCAAATATCTCTCCAAATAACCCCTGCTGCATATGGTCTTGGAGGATTTTGGCGGACCGGATGACATTTCAATGATTTCAGGGACTTAATACATCATAGTACTAAAGATTTGGGGAACAATTAACGAAATAACCCTTTATTCTAGATAGTTTCACGAAATTCATAGAGGATTTATTTGTAAAAACAAATATTTACATAGAACGGAAAGAAATAGAAAGAAAAGGATGAGAATCCGCATATTAATGAATAAACTGCATCCTAATTTCGTGGCTAATCTTTCAGAAATTGTAACAGTGGTTATTTTTCACACCAAATCATGTCGATGAATGATAGCAAAATGTTGCATCAAACACCAGCGTCCGAATCCGATACCAAACATCTCTCGATCAGTTGGCGCAAAAGCAGAAATAAAACCAAACTCAAGTGTCTATAACCAATCTAACAACATCAACAGAATTATAAATGCGCATAAATACAGGAAAAGCCACTTGCATCTGAAAAAAGCCAGAGATTGGTAATTTGTATCAAACGTCTACGATCATCTCTTTCTACATTGGATTGTATAATATGGGCCTCCTCGTGTCAAAAAAAAAAGGTCATGTAGGAACGTACAAGCACAAGAACACAGAATGCAAATAGAAGATTTTGCGATATAGATGACAAACAAATGCTAGAGGAAAGCAAGAAAAAAAGAAGGGAGAAAGTTGACAGATTCTAATTGCAGCCGAGTCACAGGCTACCACTAAGCTATATCTCCAAGGGTGCCTATGTGATTTTGACAAATAATGCAAAACTTGGATCATCCCAATAGCAGAATGAAGCTTGAAGGAAAAGAGTATCAGACGAGAAATGTTAGCACTTTCGTGTCTTCAATGTGAAGAGCTACTTTGTTATCTTCCTTAGCATCAATCTCCAGACACGAATGTTTTACTCTCATAGTACTTCCTCTCACTTGCTTCCTTCTTTTCATTTCGTTTCTGCAGAAACAGGGAATTTGTTATGGATACAAATATGAGCTTGTACATCAAAGGTGAAACTTCGCAAGATGATTATTTTATCAGGCAAAATCGTATACAATAGCAGAACAGTACTTTGAAGTTTCTGGAACCTTTTATCAGTAGAATCTTTAAAATTGATTTTGCAATCCTCACAAAATGTTTGTAGACGGCAAAATTATTGCAAGATATGCTTATTATTGCGAGGTAGATTGTTGAGCTATTAACGTGCCCGCCTCACGTATCAAGCTTCAGAATGCTGAAAAGGCATGATAGCACCTTAGGACAACCAGATTATTATGTTTAGTCTATTGAGACATAATTTTCACTCCTTTAAACCTGGGCAGATGTCCTGAAAGACTAGAACTAAGTAGGCACCAACCAAGTCAAAACTTGTCCAAGTAAAGAAACTCATCGGTGACAATGATCTTCATGCTAAAAAGAACACCTGATAAACTCCATGCAGATAACTCTCCCCGAATCATGCTACTTTTTGAAGAAAAGTATTTCCATGAGACTTATTCATGCCAAGAGAATTGATAGGAAATTACCAGATAGGCGTCATGGTTCGCAACTATCCTCTTGATAACCGTACTAGTTGTGATCTCAAGAGGACTTTCTAGTTGTCTGTAGATACCCATCTCGATTGGAACCTCGTACGGATTGGATTTCTCCTGTCAAGTTGTGCCAAAAATTCATCAAATGTCATAATCTGACTGTCCGGGCTTTTAATAGTAAAGAAACCATAAACCTTGATGAAGTACCTTCAAAAAGTCCATGTTTTCAGCAATTGTTCCATGAACCACCAATGAGATGTTAAAGGTTGTGATCTGCAGATTGAAGTTAAACATGTTTAAACAACCACCCAAAGCCAGATATATCGAAACATTCTAATACTATAGCCAAGATTCTGTGAGCACTTCTGATATCAGTGCTGAAATAAACACGTCTTACTTGTTACTGAACTTGTAGTGTTCCGCATTTTAGATTTTGCAAATTAATGATAGTTTACAAAGCAAATTTTAAACGGAAAACGTAAACAATTAGGACTTCAACAGGTAGTTACTCGTTTCAATTCTTTTCCTTTTTTATAACACTGAGGAGTTTATACAGAGCTTTATGTAACTTAATACTTAGGAGAGTGTGTATGTCAGCTTCTATATTTTTCATCCATGTGAGTCCTATAAAATATAATATCCAAAGGGAGGTCTTTTAAGAGTAATATAATAGGCAAAAGTAAAATATGAGACGTCAGTGAATTTTAGCTTTATCGTATCCTATGAGCAGAAAGTACCTGAATTTTCAAATTTAGTTTCCTGTGTAGCTTTTGAAGGAAATTTAAAAAGAAGTTTTTTTTAGCAGTTTATTCGCTAAACTAATAATTCTAGGCCTACAGATGTATACAAATAAAGCTGGCATAGGTCTATATTTCAACATAATAGATGAAAAAGTACATACCAAGTGCAGCATAAGGAAATTTATATATTTTAATCTTATGACAAAATACATAAGAGGAATATATGAATCAAACATAAAGGAATCAATTCACACACGCAAGGCTGTATGAAGATCAACTATCAATCCTCTATGACAAATCAATCCTCCTTTGACTTATCATCAGAAGTAAATACATGCAGTTTCCTTCAAACGTGCATAAAAGCTGCCATAGCCCATGATAAAATTTAGAATTAACATACTACTAAAAAGTTTCTATGGAAAGATCAATGTTTTTTTTATTACTTTTTACTTCTTTCTCTGTTCTATATGGGATACTTTATTTTATAACTTAAAAACAGATGAGAAAGATAGTTTTAGAAGAACATAAGAGACAAAATGATAAAACACACGTATAAATGTGACTAACCATGTCTTTTGAAACCTCCCAGGGGGCACCAATGATCACCTCATCAACATAACGGCAAGCCAAAACACTTAAACTTCTCTCATGAAGATTCATGATTGGACGATGGGCACCTCGAGTAGAACTGCACATCGCATAAGAAACTATTAGTTTCATAATTGTCATCTTTCAGCAGTTGAGAAATATTTAACTAGCGCATGACTTACAAGCAAGTTATCATAAATGTGAAGTAGTGACTATGATATCCAATTACAATGGCCTCTCAATGGGTGACATTGTGATATAGTCCAATTCACAAAGTGAGTCTAAAGACCCCTCCATGAGCACACCCCCTTTACCACTGTACCAAGCTCCTCATGCTCACTGTTTATGGATGCTATTGTTGTATTCAGGTCGCAACAAATGTAATTCTGGAAGCATTGATGATGTAGAACGAAAGTCATGATTTAGCTAGGATTCTTGATTTAGCAATGAAGGAGCTTTGGTTGCGACAAATGTAGTTATAGACAAAAGTCACGATTTAGCCAGGATTCTTGATTAATTAAGGTATTTTGTTTTATCTGAAGAGATTTGGTTTATTTCCAAACCCTAGTTTAGTTAAATTAAAAATCCTAGTTATATTTCAGTTTGACTTCTCTGGAATAAATTTACCATTCTATGACTTTTTTAGTTGATACATTGAACATATGATAATTCTTAAAGATTACAAAGCATATAAAGAATTTGCCTATGGCATCAAACCATAACCATAATCTTAAGATATGAAGTCTTACCCAACGTAAAGCCAACAAGGTATGAAACATAGGATATTGTCGGCCTTTCGTACCAAGTCCCATAAAAACCTAGCCACCAACATCCTACCCAAACCCAAATTCAGTCTGAATTTGCAACACCAATTGAACAAGCTATAACTCTCTAGTATCATTTTTGGACATATTAACCATTCTAGAGGGGATACATACTTTCAGAATAAGAAAATAGATTCTCGCTGAAGATTGTGAAACTACAATGTGCTAGCATATTTTCACTCTTCAGCCATTTTTTTTCCACTTCTTGTTTCTTCTATATACATGCTATATCAGATTTCTATATGGGTCTATATCTGGTAGAATATAAAGGGGAGCACATAAATCAATCACTGGGTTCTTAAGTCAGCTTGATTGGCATTGTAAGCATGCTTCCAGTACCTTACACAAACAGTTGAACACGAAATTGAGAATAAAAGTGAAGTTGGTTTATAGCCGACATGTCTTTCTAGTGTATTTAAGCATTAATTAGTACTAGAATGATTGACAAGAATGAAACACAAAGTTCAATCCTAATGGTGTTACCATGAGAGAAACAACAGAGTTTGAAAATTATTTAAGCACTGAAGGTCATATCTAAGAAACTCACGGCAGTCCCAAAATGAACCATATGCGTCAAAAAGCACAATGAATTATGGGTTTCACCCGTTACAAGCAAATTAAAGATGACCAAGACTCTGTGCGAGTAATAAAGACTTTATTTGAACCATGTGGTGTCCTAATGGAAAGGTAGATGAAACCTCTTCTTGTTAATTAGAAAAACAACGAAAACCTTAAACCAAATGGAAAACAGGGTGCATGACATTACTTGAAGAAGTTTAACAGAAAAGGGTGTCATTGATTATAAATAACTTAAAGCAAGACACTAAATAAGCAAAGAGAGGACATATACCTAATCGAGTTTTAGCAATCCAAAATCTTTAGACAGTCCACAAAAACTGAGTTAAAACTCAATAAAAAATATGAATAGACATAGACCTGACTGTTTGATCAGTGTGAATCCCCACAAGTAAAAAATCTCCAAGTTCTCGAGCAAGTCTCAGTATCTATATCAAAAGAGAACAATTTGAAACATCAGGTCCATACTAACCGTTAAAAAAAATCTTACAAAAATAAAAGTTCAAAGTGAAAGAAAACAAATTAAAAACATTCAACATAGGTAGATTGTTTCCTCCCAGGTACAAGAAATGATCATTGTTTTGTCACCATTATACAATTCCAAGTTACTTTTTGTGGATTTCTTTTGCTTAAATTCATTACTTTACCTGTTGGGTATTTCCCGAATGAATTTCATGTTTTGCTTGACTGGGCATGTTTCATAAAGATGGGTTCTTTTAGCATTGCTTATAAATTGCTCATTTATTCAATGCATGCATTTGTCTAGGGTATTATTTCTTTGCATTGAAACCAAATCAGATGCCTCTGCACAGCTCATTAGTTCGACATAAAACACTGTCCTTGTAGTTTTTAGGGTGTTATTTTTGAAAGAAATGATGGAATATAGCCACCCTCTTCCAATGAAGAGAAGATAAGAAACAAAGATGCAGTAATGCAAGAGGGGACTAAATCCGCTATCACTCCAATAGTCTAATCTTTAGTCAAATCAAATCAGTATTATTGCAGAAAAGAAAGTATGCACAAGTACAGATCAAACTTTATTTCAAAAAATTAAAAAGTTGAGTTCAAACTCTAAAGCTAAAAATAGACACTGAAAGACTAAATCCATTATCACTCCAATCTCTAGTCAAAATCAAATCGTTATTACTGTTCGAATATTCTGACTCTATATTGTCCATCCTCTCTTGGGGAGTTCTCTTGCATCGTCGAGAAAATCTAAATCAAGTTCCTCAATTGTGATATAACCTTAGTCTCAAAATCTAACCTCCTCTATGTCTTCTGATTAAGTATTTTAAATTGCTGGCTCTACTTTAGCCAACTAGAAAATAGATACATCAAAATATTGATCAAGTAGCTAAAAAAACATGCCATGAGCCCCACCCCACCCCCAACACCCACCCACCCATGCAGGCACACACATGTGCATGCACACACGCACACAGACAAAGATAACAATCATCCTTCGGTTTAACGTAAATGACAACATAAATTACAAGTATAAAAAGTTTTACCTCCACGTGTCCAGCATGGAAAAGATCAAATGCACCATCAATGTACACTACTCGAGCATCTGGACCTGCCCCCTGCATGCAGAACAAGGATTCAAACTGAAGAGTAAAGTCGGGCACGCATTCACCAACTTTGAACACAAAAATGCCATTAAACTCTCATGAACATTCAGTGGGGTCTCCACTATATTGAATAAATTCTCTTTTATTCTTGGTAGGTGTGGAAAGCAATACAGTTGATCACACCAGAAATATGAAAGCACACAATGGTTAAAGTACTTCAAAGAATGAATGTGCATGTCACCAAAAATATGATCTCATGATCTTAAAGTTCTCCAAAGACTGTCATTGCCTAACAGTTAAATTTTCTCAAAAACATTTCTGCAAAGAACACCATAGACTTCCAACAATTGAATATAGAACTAAAGAAACAAACGCTGCAGAATAGTTTGGAATCTTTCCTATAAATAGATTACCGTGAGGATCATTCAAGTATTCTTCTGGACAAATGTCTTTCAACGTCTCATAAGCTATTAATCTTTCAAAATATAAAAAGAAATGGCTGGAGTAAACTCATAGCACTTTAGTGGATTGGTGACAACTTTGATACAGTGTTTGATTAATTACAAGAATTAAATACATATTTTAGAAAACATTATCAAGACAACAAGCATCCAAATGATTCCTATCTAAAACAAAACTCGTATAAAGAGGAAACTGAATTGTACCAACTTCTAGTTTTGTTGCCACAGAAGAGGACCCTAACAATCTAAACAAACCAACCTCTAGATTATAGGAAAATTTCACATGACAATTGACAACTCCTTGGTGAGAACTTTAGTAGAACTCCATCTAGTTCACTATATCCAAATTACTTTATGATCAAGAGATCAAATAGTTAGAAACTTTCTCGGTCCAAAGATGCTATTGCTTTCTTTTCTTTCTTTCTTTCTTTCTTTTTCCCAAAAAACAGCATTGACCAAACTATTCAAAGCTATGGATTTATCAAACAAACTATCCATGTATTTCACTCGATAGATCCAGTACCTAACCAGAGGCAAAGAAGCAACATCAACAAAAAGGGAAAACCTTCTGTAAAAAACTAACTGGGAACATTATTTCTGTAACAACAAAATATAATTCAGGCAAAGAGTACCAATCCACAGGGCCCACTAATTTTTACCTTCTCGTTTGAAAATTGTACTATCCGCCGAGATGTAGGCAAGAAATTAGATACACGGGTTCCACTAGCAGACCAAGCATCCTCAACTTTTGGGCCTCTTGGACTGCCATGCCCATGGCTGAATTGCCTTTGTAAGGAAGAATGATTGTGACTCTCACCATGGGACCTTTCCCTCACACAAAGAAGCATGCGGCCTGTTGATGCAAAATAATATGCAAGTTCACGTTATCTCGTTGCCAAATAAAAACAAATATATTAATTCATCTATCTACAAACAAGAAATTCATCCAGCTGTCTAACGAACCATGCACCCGTTAGGTACAACTGTAGAAGCAAGAAAAGAAGGCAGAGAAGGCTGTACTGGGAAAAAGGCAGAAAACAGAGATATGCTTGCGGAAATAACAAGAGGTAGATTCAAATTTTCAATAACATAGAACATCCTCTTTCATCGCTGGTAGAAACACTTTGAATGTGGAACTACACTGTTCAGTGACCTAACTTCTACTCGTCACAACACTAATTCAATTTGGTCACAAGAAGTACTTGTACAATTCAGCAAAGAGTATGCCTCTTTCAAGACCAGGCTTTAAGTAATTAACTAATTATTAATAAAGATCACAAGGATTATGCGATAGTTTTGGGATATCAAATGATGAACTTCATATCGGTTTCAATCACGAACTGGACTATCGTAGCAATTAGAGAAAACCATCTTTGTATACTTGTTTTATGCCAAGCTGAGAAAGAAAGAACTAAACCCAGTTTTAAGTTTTTGGTCAATCTTTTATCAAGTCTAAGACAGCAAGACCACATGAATTTGTTGCATTTTTAATGTAATCTAGAAGTTGTTGGCACACCATCATTCTTCCTGATGTTAAAGATAGCCATGAGCAGTAGATATAATCACCTGTGTCTGTGTGGAACTTATTCTGAATACCACAAGCATGAGAGAAATAAGCAAAGGATTCTAATTGGCAGATAATTAATGTAACTTAACATGGTATTTGATGTACATGGCAGTAACTTGGAAACATACTTATCAAGAGCTGAACTTAGTAAACAGAAAAAGGAAAAATATATGCAGAGAAGCTTAGAATAGTACCAACAATGTCTGTGCTTGACACTCCTTCCGTTCTCTTGATCTGCTTATAACGACCTGCCTTCTTGGCGAGAGCATATGCATCAGTGCCATCAGGGAGCAGGCATGGGTCATCCCCATGGATGATGTAATCTATATCATACTCATTGAACAACTTCTGCATAAATTCTTCGGTGATAGCATATGGGGCATCGGGAATGACATCATCTACCCACTTCAAGGCACCTACCATTATCATCCTGATAAACAAAAAAGTGACTTGCCTCTTATGCTCAAAAGTTCAGCAATGCTCTTTCCAAAATAATAAGGTAACAATAATGATTTTTTTTTTACTTTTCACTTGTGACTAATCAAAATTACAGATGTGATTTAAGTAGTAAATTCTCCAATATAGATCCCAAAAATCACAGTTCGAAAATTTCTAACCTATGAATCATGGGATCTTTGAATAGCTTGTGTCAATCTTAAAATTCGGATATTTTAATTACTACAATGTAGGATAGAAATTCAAAACACACACATGCACGCCTACAAAGACGACTGGCACACATGCGTGCACCCACGCACACAAACATATATATGTATAGGCATATACACACAGACATATACATACATAAAGGGTAAGGTCATATTATGCAGAGGATGTAACTAACAAGTTTACAGCTATCAATGAAAATACACATTAAATTATCTATATTGATAATCCAGAGTATCCATTATGATCTACATTTTCTAGTACTCAAGGGGATGAAAAATCACATGGATTAACATTTTCTAGCCTAATACGTCTTATGGTCTGAAATTGAGTGGCACGTGGTCAGCGTGAGTTGCTTTACTATATAATAGAAAAATTCTAACATTTTCTAGCCTAATACGTCTTATGGTCTGAAATTGAGTGGCACGTGGTCAGTGTGAGTTGCTTTACTATATAATAGAAAAATTCTAAACCATGTGGTTGTTTTTATCCACTCACTTTTAATGATTTAGTGATCACGATGTACAATTTGGAACATTAATATGCAACGTGCATAAGTGCATTTATTTCCATATGCAGGTGTAAACTTCCTAGTTAATCTTAGAAACGCACTAGCGATGAGATTATACCAAAACTATCTCCTCCTGCGACAATCCATTTCCTTCATTTGGAAAGAAAACTACCATAATAGAGTAAACAATATGAAGATCCACACGGGATCATGTCTATATTTCACAAAATAATAATGATTCAACTGGGGGAATCAGGAAAGAAGTTAGGATCCTACAGATGTCATGCCTGAAATCAATAATCAATAATCGGATTACTTTTCCGAAGAGGAGAAATCAAGAAATGAATCACCGCAGTCGCCGGATTTTGATCTAATGTGCATGTCCATATGTACTGTGTAAACTTCTTTATTACACATTTTCTGTAATATAATCTTGCTCTTGTATCCATTTGCATTCCATATATATGTGTAAACTTCTTTATTACACATTTCCTGTAATATAATCTTGCTCTTGTATCCATTCGTTCATTTGAAAAGAAAATTACCAAAATAGAACAAACAACATCAAGATCCAAAAGCGATCACATTCTGATCCTGTCCACGTTTTACAAAATAATTAAAGATTCAAAAGGAACGGTCAAGATCATTAAACAATCAACAAAATCATATAAAAACGCGGATCAAGAAACTCAAGAATCGAACCTCTCGTGAAGCGGAGTCACCGGTGGTCCTTTGTTCCTCGTGATCTCGTCATCGCTAACGACACCAACGACAAGCTCATCGCCAAGAGCCCTAGCCTGCCGCAGCGCGTTGCAATGCCCGTAGTGCATCATGTCGAAGCACCCGTCCATGTAAACCCTAATCGGCTTCTTCTTCTTTCGAAATCTCGAGCAAATCGTCGGAAGAATCGCCGGAGCAAGCCCTAGCTGGATCGCGGCGACGGTGGAGGCGAGGACAATGCCGCCGATGAAGAAAGCCTTGACGAGCTTTTCTCTCTCGATCGACGCCATGGATCGGAGATCTAGGGTTAGGGTTTCGTTTCGTCGATTTTAGCTGGAGAATTCTCGAGCTCGCGCCAAGAGAGAGAGAGAGAGAGAGAGAGAAAGAAACTAGGGATTCTAAAGGCCGTAAGATTTGACGTGGACGTGTGGGGCCTAGTATGGGAGATGTGAAAATGTTGGGTGTCACGGTAAATTTTGCTTTTAGAACATCTTCTCGAAGAGGCCGCATAGAAATTGCCGTGTAGGATTTTCGACCGCAATAAATTCGTTTTAAAATGCGGTTATCATTGTGCCTAACAAGTAGCAACCTCTAATTTGCAATGGCATTTCCTCTAATTTGCGCTAAAGTAAAAAAAATAGAGACTACTCAACTATTTTCAAGTAAAAAAAACATTTTTTGCTCTTTTAAAGAGCACATCGTCAATACTTCTTTAAATACTGATATGACGCTTACGTGTCATCCCTACTTTCTAAATGATTTTATGCCTCTCAAGGCCCGCAAGTAGCCCACAAGTGAAATGTGCATTAATTAGGAAGCATATAATTTCCTCCTGATAACTTTTCATTGTTATCCAAACAAAAAAGGAAAATGAAGAATAAGTACTATTTCCACCGCTTAAAAAAATATGTGAAACAAATAGTAAAATTATTTTTTCCATTACTTCCTACTTCATAAATTTAAAAGTTACTTATTTGATCTATTTCCTACTTCCGGTACTTCTATCAAGCCAAACGAGCCCTAATTTACAAGGCAATTGTCAGCTAGATACAACGATTATTCGAAGGTTATTGTTATTATACGCAGTTGTAATTATAGTTGTTTGATTCAATCTTGGAAATCCAGTAATGATTTTTATGCGTGTATAACTGATGGAGAAAATCAATACAATTTATGAAAGTTCTATGTTTGTTTTCTTCTAAAAATTAATTTAAAGAGGGTAGGAGGCCATATTTTCTGGCTTCTTACGTGCTAGTTCAGACCCAAAAAAAAGTGTTCTAAATGGGGCAAAATGTTGAGCAAGATTGAGGACTAACTAGTTCAGAGAAAAATTCAAAATTTTGCAATGTTACTTTGTTAGTTAGAGTATTTGCTCGTCACTTTATGGAACATGAAAAGGTATAATTTATAAGTTTTTCCTAGATTTTTTTTCCTTTTTTCCCATTTTACTACTCGTTTTGTATTTCTTTATTTACAAATTACATATATGGGGATACGCTATAAAAAAATTTCCATGTTGTAGGAAGTTGTGTGAGACACTCTAAGAGACAATTACGTGACATAAACAAAGTTTATAAGTATTATGTT